ATGGAAAGGGGTGATGAGATTTGGTAAGAAAGGAAAGCTTGCACCTCGATATATTGGACCATATGAAATCACAGAGAAGATTGGACCAGTGGCTTATAAGTTGGCATTGCCTCCAGAACTATCTCAAATCCACAATGTATTTCATGTTAGTATGCTAAAGAGGTACAAAGTGGATCCTTCCCATGTTATACAACCAGAAGAGATCAAGTTGGGTACAGATTTAACATTTGAAGAAGTTCCAGTGCAGATTGTTGACCATCAGGTTAAAACTCTTCGTAGAAAGGAAATTCCAATGTTGAAGGTTGTGTGGAGGAATCAAGATAGTGAGAGTGCTACCTGGGAGACTGAAGCAAGTATGCGAGAGAAGTACCCTGAGTTAGTAGCAACCTACTTTGCAGGTTAACAATCTTGCTTAGTAAGTTATGTTTTGAACTTGCTGATGTGCTTTTGTTGTGATAGCCCAGTATAGGTTTTTGAAACCTAAACATGGGATTTGAGGTGTTATGTGTTACTTTCTATGTTATGAATCGCCTAACCTGAGAGTTAGGTAATGGTTTATCTACGATAGACCATGTCAAGGGTAAGTAAGCGGACTAAGGGTACAACTCAAGGTTAGATTTTGGGGACGAAATCTTTTAAGGAGGGGAGAATTGTACCCTCCCATTTCAGCTAAACCCATATTTCGATCGCTAGAAAGTTCGTGATTTAAAATCGAGCATTTTGGCAGTATTTCGGCGAAAATTGGATTATCGATCGATCAGATAAGTATACGTATTAACATATATATATCCGCTCCATTTAATTTCCCCCACCCTTCCATTTAATTCTCATCATCATCACCTTTTTTCCATTTCCCCACCGAGAGGAAACCGAGAGCACAGCGAGCCGAGCAGAGCGAACAGGGGAGCTCGGGGAGAAATTCCAAAGCTAAAATTCTTGAGCCCTAGTGATCCAAAAATCCCCTAAGTAATGCCTAATTCATCTATACATCATGATTTATCAATTTAGAGTTTTAAAACGAGTTTTTGGTTCAGGAATTTCTTGAATTCCCAATAAGCCAGATTAGGGTTTCGGAATATCTGGAAGCCAGATTGAGCCCAAATTTCATATACGAGCTTCTTGCAGCGAGGTAATCAATCCTCTAGTTCTAATCCCTTAATTTCGGCAATTATTTAGGCCGGGGTCCAAACCGCTGAATTTAGCTCCGGCCAGGGTTTGATGTGTTTTTATCAAGAATTTGACCCGGAGCCTAGGACTAATATTGACGGGGATACTGCAGGGGATATTAGGACGGTCTCGGATTTTTATTCGGAGTTCGTTTGTGAAATTGACGTTTTAGTACGGGAAGGTTAAACCGGTGTTTGAACGACCAGAACTGGTGAGGGATTAGCACGGCATACCGGGTTTGTCGTATCACGATAATTATATTGATGCTTAGAATTGATCTAGGTGAACTAGAATGGCATGATTAGGGGTGTATGAGCTTTTGTGCTATATATTGAACCCTGGACTGTTGTATGATATTATTGACTTGCCCTAATCGATATGGACATTGTCTATGCTGATGATTGCATACATGTTGCCATTTGTGGCTTAACCGTTGATATGACTTCATGGCTGTTCATTCAGGTGTTTTGACATGATGTGATATTGTGGTTGTTTTTGGATTCACAAGTGGGGGAAATAAACTTCCCAGGGTGATATTATGATGTTTAAGGAGGATGACTTGCACGAGGGTTTATCCCGAGGAAGTGCAACTATACGACTCCTGATTTACCTATGTTGAGCCAATTATGGTCAGGTCAAGTACATGTGTAAGTAATGAATTATGATTAAGCAAGATGAGATATGAATCATGCATATGGATATCAAATATAAGTGTTGTGGTCTCACGGTCAACTACATAGTAATTAGGGCTCCCTATGCTATTACTCTATTATGATATGTATGATAGTCACACCTCTCATGTGGTGGTGACTGAAGAATTCTTAAGAGATATGACCACACCCAGAGCGGTGTCGGGGTATGACTACACCCATAGTGGTGTGGGGTATGTATGCCCACATCTGACGGGATGTTGGGGTATGTAAGACTACATCCGCCGGGATGTGGGGTATGTTTCCTGGGAGAGTTATTAGCATGGGAGTAGCCAGGCGCCTATAAGTAAAACATGATAAGATGCATATGCATAAGTCAAGGTGGTTGAGTCTTTTGCCTATTGGGATGTTGGAGGGCTGAGATCTGATCCTAGTGCTTTGGCTTGTTTGCTAGATGTATGGTAGGAGTATGCTCTGTTATGAACTCACGATGCTATGATTATCTCACTCAGCTATGAGCTGACCCTCTTTATCCTCTTTCTCTGCTTATGCCATGTGTAAGCAGATCATCAACAGCAGCAGTAGATAGGTGTATAGGTGGGAGCTGAGCAAGAGTTGAAGGCAAGATGAGGTATGGTCTTCAACTACTCTGTGCTTGGACTACTACTCGGGATTTTGGCCAGTGATCTACACCTTTTTGTAAAAATGTTTTGAGAACGTTTTTCATGTGCATACTAGCTTCTGATGTAGTGTGAGATACCAACAGGTGTGGAAAGTTGTTGATAAGTGTATATGTTGTGTAACTATGTAAGTTGTGACGATTATAGTATGTATAAGTATGGTATGTAGTTGTGGAATATGAAAAGTGTGACTATGGCTAAGAAAAGCCAATGCATATGGTTGTGAGTATATATGTTTGTGATGAGTTATTTTGCAGGATTAGATGGAAGAAGTGTTAGCCCATTATGCGAGTAATTCATGTCGAAATTTTATTTTGGTAAATTTTGATAATTAATGTAACACCCGAGATTATTTTCGCTGCAATTGTATGAACAATATGATTAGGTAATACGTATAGGGTAGGGTGTTACAGCAATTATCAGCGTGTATTAGAGAGATCAATTACTTATGTTCTGTTCTCCATCAACTGATGTTCCTTTCACTGCCTTTTCTTCTTGGGTTGTCTCCCAAGTAATCTGACTTAATTTCATATGAGATGAATTTGTGATTTTTTTGAACTCAGCTCGATGAATTCACTTATAGGTTGATCTACGGTTATGTGTGTTCAATCTATTTAGGCTGATTTACGGTTGCAATGAACAACTCACGACCCTAAACATTACATCTTTTCCTCTGGTACTTTCGTTGTTTTAGTGAACCAACTTTTTAATCCAATCTTATATGTTCCATTTGATTAGTGCCAACAAATCATAGTACTTTACTTCTTTGGGTGAATGCAAAGGATTATATGCAGTCGTTGGATGGTAAAAGAGTGGATTATACCGCAATAGTCATCGACATCATCAGACCAGTGCTGAACACTACAATCTATGGTTAAACGATAAGTAGTACGATATGAATTGTAATATAGATTACCAAGCTCTTTGCACTCGGTTTTCAGAGTTCTTATGTGTTATATTTGGGACAGGGTTGCAGTTGAGGTGGTTCAATTCTTGATAGACTCATCGTAAGTGATAGTCAAACCAAACCGCCAATAATGGTGAGCTCCTCTTTCTCTTTGTCTCTCTTCCGATCATTTTAACAAGCTCTTATCTACTGATTTTTGTACTGTTAGACTGGACCCTGTTGGGATTCATCGTTGCAAAAGTTGCTTACACTAAGATGACCCTGATTAGTTTTGCTTACAGAATGTGCCTTGCACAATTAATTTGAAAGTTTGGGAGGATGCATTTTGAGGAACAATTTGCAATTACTAAAGTTTTGTTTAGTTTGAATGGTGTAACTTGTGGTTATGCCATGGGGACGAAAGAGAAATTATTTATGTTCTTTTGCATCCCTCTATTGATTTTGTTCTTTTGCATCCGGAAGATGGATAGTGGAGGACGCACATGGTTCATAACATGAAAGTTCGTGTTCGTTTTAGTCGATTGCTTTGCCACTTAATGCTTTAATTGCCTTCCATGTCTCTAATTTATAGTTTTAATTGCCTATCATTTACCGTTTTAATTCTTAGACCCGAAAATGCTTTGGTGAGAACAATATGCAGGAGCCAGGAGGTGTGAGTAAGGTTTGCAAAGTTGTTCTCTCATGGCATTGGTGTTCAATTTTAAGTCCTAAAATATTTTAAACCCCAACTGCGTCATGGAGTGGGCCTTATGTTGTGTCATGAATTACTGCTCATTGTTTTTCTTAGTAATGAGCAAGGTCACTCGCTCAATATTTCATCTTACCTTCTTGTGATTCTTAGTTATCGCCGGGATATTATGCCTCAAACTAAGCCTCATCCATGCTTGGTTGTCTTTACTGTGCTGCTTATAACGAAATGAATTTTTAGCTATTGTACATTGTGCCCTCACCAAATGGTATGTTAATTTCTACACTTGAAAGAACTCTTTATATGGGCTTTTCTCGACATGGAATATCCACTTTGAGACTACTTTGAGTTTCCTTAAGGTGTATGGCCGATTCTTTCTTTATGTATACTGCAAAAATGTAGTTGCCTTTTGAAAGTTGTATCTACTGAAGGTTATATGAGTATTTTTTCTTTGTGCATGTATAAAATTGTTAGATTGTCAGGCTAGCTTATTCTCGAGTTTATTATTGTAGTTTCAGTTGCCCTTTGAGGAAGTTGATTGATATTGAATTTTTTTATTCACACTGATGATTATGATTTGTCATTTAATCTTTTATGCAGTGGTGTCTTAGAGTAAATCGGGTGGGCGATGCTGCCTTGGGAGACTTCGATTGGAATTCCTTCCCGACAATACTACTTTTTTCTTAACCTTTACAAGCTTAGATCGAACCATTGATATATAATCACCATTAGTGGGGATTTTTTATTAGTTATGATTAATTTTATTAGTGTTGTGCGGTTCATATGTGTGCCTTTTCCACCCCTTTGAAACATCAAAGCCTTTGCCCAGTTTTTTAATCTATGCTTTTCACATTGTTCTAATATAGACTCTCAATAATTGCATTGTTGTTTTGCTTCCTCACAAAATATAGTTTTAAATTACTTAATTCACCTTCCCGCCGCGTAGCGCGGACTTCCGTTCTAGTTAAGAATAAAGAGACAAGTGCATAGCATTAGAAATATATTGTTTTCCCTATATTTTCTATCCAGTCGCATACCAATTTGACGAAACTCTGGCCAAACCATACCATACGTAGCAAACAAAATTCACATATAGCGTTGTGTCTTATTAACCCAAATCCTCCGTAATACCAAAACCAAAGAAACGAAAACTGTTGCATAAATTAACAAACTCAAGCTACGGGGCTTAAACTTGAAGATTGGTTTTGCAAGTGATCCGTCGATCTTAATTAAGCAGCAAGCATAGCAGTCTCCCACTCCACCGCTTTCTTCAAGTGGCTGTCCTCTTCAAGCACCATCTGAACCGGCAAGAACCCCATCCCGCTCGCCATTGCGAACATCATCTGCCTCGTCTCGGCCTTGAACTCCTCGAGATCCACCGTCCCATTCGAGTCATGGTCGAACTTCGTGAACAGAGACTCGTACGCACTAGCCAGCTCGCTGGGGCTCATACTCTCGTCGATGCCAAAATGGGTCTCGAAGACCCTCAAACTCTGCAATTCCTTAAGCATCTCCGAATACGAAAGTTGTCCATCGTGATCACTGTCGAGGTTCACGAATAGCTCGTGAACCGAGACCGTGAATGCCTCCTCGTCGCCGACAAAGTTGACGATGGTGTTGCCGTCTAGAACTTCCACACTCATCGTATATGGCTTTTTTTGGGATGTTGATAGAAAGATTGTCTGAAAGAAAAAGATTGGAAGTAAAGGTTGGGTTTTCAGTTGGTTTGTTATGAGCTGAGTTTGGTTGGAGAGAGCTTATGAAGTATGATATTTATAGGTGCATGTTGTAGTTTCCATTTGTTTCCTAAGAAAGATCTTCCTCTGTTTCTTTGTGTGTGTTGTTTTGCTCTGGGCTGGTTGTTTGGAGGATATACCACTGGGCTAATTAAAGTAGTTCTGGTGGCCTACAAAGATTGCTTTTTGGATCAGTGGATGGATGGTTCATGGTTATGTCACAAATCTTTGTTTTAGTTAAGTTAATGGAGAGATTGATATCTATTAGCGCATAATCAAAACCTACGGGCAGGGAGGGGATTACTAAATAGGTAAATACCAAGTGGGGGTAATTATATGGCTAGGAAGGAATTGAAACGGCAAATTACAATTAATTATTATTTTAAATATTAATCTGTAAGTGGGTCACGCTGTATTTGACCGGTTTGGACTTCAGTCTTCAGCGTATAATGAGAACCTGAAAGACAGAAGACTTTCTTCCTTTTTGGAGGCGGTCGCCAATTGAAAAGCTTTCAACAAAACAAGGAACATCTATATAACACAGCAAGTGTGTCAATAATGAGCGAATAAAAATGTGAGACTTGTGATAGTGGAATGCAACAATAAGAAGGAAGGTCAATTTAGTGGTTATTGATAGGCTTAACCAAGCTCAAGACATGGACAACCTTGCTGGTGCCATTTTTCACGAGGTCCTTAGTTGTCTGGCGGAACATATAGACTTCAGGGTGCGATTCGTTGGTCGGCGTAGTATAGGGTAACTCATTCGGTGGTTCGGAAGGCCCTTTCGTTGTACCCGATAGTGTGTCTGGTTGAGAAGGTCCTTTATGTTTGATTTTGTGGTCTGGTTGAATTTCAGGATCTAATGATCTCCTTTTTTCAATCAATATATATATATATATATACACGCTTATCTTTTGTAAAAAAAAAGTAGGAAGGTCAATTCATCGTCCATATGACCAATCTTGAGAGTGCGGTTGCGATTCAGGGTGATGATTGTTACAAGAATCAAACTATTGTAATAAGTAGGAAAATTCTGGGGTTGCTTACCTTTTCTATTTTAGTAATTAGTTTTTGTTTTAGTAGGTATGAGGCTTAGGATAGGGTCAGTAACCAATGGTTACTAACCTATTAGTAATTAATATGGACCTTTAGATTTAAGTGAGTCCAGAAAATTCAGATCTAAGGGTTGTCAATTAAAGACATTTTATTTTCCCTAATTTTCTTAATTGGCTCTTATCTTCTTCGTTCTAACTCGGATTTCAATTTTTTTTTTGCACAGATGGAACGAGTTCGTTGTGCTCTACAAAATGAAAGCAATTTTCAATATATTTCGAGAATTTTTTTTTACCAACTACATACCATATGGTAACTTCTTCGTTTTTAAGTCGTTTTTGAAAACGTTTGCTCAGAAGGAACGAGTTCATTATGATCTATTGGATCTATAAATTTCTGGGTGAAAAAAATACTGAATCAAAAATTACCATACTTTACCACTATGGTATGTGATTGGTAACTTGTAGTAAACAATGATGAAAGTCGTAAATGACAAGTTAATATACTCATACTATCATGTATTCAACCTTCTTACCATATTGGTATGTTCATACCATCATGGTACGCTTTCTTACCATATGGTATTAAATTGGAGCATACTATATGGTAATGACTGGTAAAAAATTATTCAATTTCTTTTGTACTAAAAATATATCAAAGTGGATATCATTTTGAAAAGCATATTTAATCTGATTTATCTGTGCAAAAAAAAAATTAAATTTTGACTTAAAACGAGAGAAATTGTTCATTAAAAATTAAAGGGGAAAAGATAAAAGACTTTCCAGGAGAGAGAGGCTATTGATGTCATGCTGATGTGGACAGGTTACTCATGATTACTGACCATAGAGTTACTGACCTGATCCGCACCCTAGGTATGGATGTTTTGTAGTAATTTTTTTAGGAATGGTTGCTAGTTTCCTATTAGAAGAAGGTTACATATTTTGGGTATGAAAGGAAAAAGAGTGCGGAACCAAAAAGGGAAGGAAAATAATTCATAAATATGTACTTCCTCGTTAGTTTTATGTTATTGAAGATTGGAACCGAATTTATGTTTCGTGCTTTGTTATTCAATTAGTAATTTCACAATAATTTGGGGTGGTTCTCACCATCAAAGAGATCCTCTACGTGAAATCGTCAAGCAACGTATCTAAAGTTCATGAAAAGAGTTTCTACTGAAGAAATCCACGTAAAATTGTTTCAAAATATCACTACAAGAAAACACATAGTTGATCACAGTAATTTGACCACAGGTGAACTCCCGTACTGAGATGAATTCCCGTGACTCTAGAATGTTAACTTCGTGTGCTTGTTAAAGCGTGCATCCACATCAATGCAATTGTAAAACCAATTGCATTTGTGCTCTTTGTTGCCACATCAAAAATTTTGCAATTCAATTCACATTACTTGCATTTACCTATATCAATGCAATTAACTTTTAATTGCATATGTGGCCATTTATTTTTTTATTAATAAAACAAAATATTTATTTGTTTATTATTTTATTCATACATAAAAAAATCCATGAATGCCTAAGTGAAATTGCAAAATGGAATTGCAAGAAATGGTAGCTTGCAATTGAATATGATATGTATTTCAATTGTCATGTCATTTTGCAATTGAATATGATAGCTTGATGTGAATGCTCTTATAATTATTTCATGTGATTATTTATGAGAAAGGACAACCAATTTTCATTTTGGCGCAAACCAGTGGAATAGGCAAAATGTTAGAGTTCACATATTGGGTGTCACCACTAACTAATCCGGAGGTCTTAGACACAGGTTCAGATGACTGGCTAGGGTCTTGGAAATGGGGAAAATGCCTTTTAGGTGGTGGAAGTATTCATAGCACAAAGTTCCACAGTTCCAAATCCAACACAATCACAACCAATCAAACCAGTAACTTTCTTTCTGCTATTCTGCATTACTCAAATTACTTAGAGCACAAGAGCGAAGGAGGTCACAATAATGTTAGTATTTCCAAGCCAGACTGCTAAGAAACACTACCTAATGAGCATGATTCAGATTTTTGGGTAGTGGCTCACTTTTGCTTTCATTCATTTTTTTCTGGTTTTTTTTTTCATTTTTTCATTTCTTGAGAGAACCACCACCTTTTCACATTTTCAAACACTTGCCCAACTTTTAAGCATTATCTCCAACCCTCACATTATATTTAGAAGAAACAGCAGAGAACATGCAAAAACCACTCTGTGGAACCTTCTAATAGATGCACAAGGGTGATTTTACATTATAGATCGAAAGAAAGGAAATTACACGGCTCAAAGGGGCTGACTAAGGGGTATGACACACCAGGACAGTCAATTTAGTTGTGGGCTATTCCTATGCCTCCATCATCTTAGCTAGTGACAACGTGAGTGCTACACATCATGGAAGAGGGATCTATCGCACAAGAAAGAAACGAGCATGCTCAAATCTCACATGGCTACCTATATGCTCTATCGCTCATTCTGATTCCCTGAACTAGATGCATAAACGACTTTCAAGAGCAAGTGATCAATCCAAGTCATAGTTGGTAAGCAAATAGTTGAAAAACTGAACTCCTACACAATTCTACTGCATGTCTCAGTCATCATTATAGGTTGTATTAGTCACAATCCAGAGTCATGCATCAATTCGAAAGCCATTCGATTCACCAATTAAACCCACGGTGCCAATATGATCATGCAAACATCAGTAATTGGAGCCCTCAAATCTTGAGATTTGGACAGCGGACTAGGCTCCAAGCACACAAACTCATCTAACAGTCAACAAACACCCCCCCCCCCCACACTTAAGCACGACATTGCCCTCAATGGAGCAGAGGGAAAGATAAGGGGAAACGATGTTACCGGAAATATGGATTGTCGGGGGACTGGAAATCGGACCAGTCAGCAGGACTAGAGTCATCAAAACACACTGGGTGATAGAAACCATAGTTCCAAGTGGACAAACCGAAAACAAACGAAAGGAAAACAAACCTTGGTGGGGTTGCCTCCCCACAAGCGCTTCTTTACCGTCTTTTAGCTGGACGGCAGTAGGGAGGATGCTCAGAGAGGTGTAGGAACACGTGTCATCAAGAGCGGATCCACATCGCTCTTGAGGTACAACTTCAGATGGTGGCCATGCACACGACGGGTGTGACCACCAGCACTCTTCAACTCGACCTGGCCATCCGGCAGGATGCAAGCGAGTGAATACTCGGATGGCCAAGGCGGTAGATGCTCAGGAGCCGGGACCAGCTCATAGTGGTCTCATGCTTCCTTTTCAGCAGGCTTAGCTACTTGCAGTTTCGGTCGCCACTCCTCCTTGATCTTTTCTTTTGGGATCAAGGTGGACGGGAGTGGCGGCGAAGGTATGGGAGGTGGGTCCTGCAAAATGGAAGGCACAGGAGGACACACGACAGACTCGTGCTCCTGGTGAGAAACAGCATGCAAAGGAGATGAGGCGGGGAGAGTATAAAACGTAAAACGTAAAAGTTTAGCGTAAAAGCGTAATTTTTTTTGTGTAATCTTATAAACCTTCAACAAAATATTTGTCTCATTTAAAAATGACACTACTCATGCAGATAATGTAATTTGAAAACTTTTAATAATGGAGCAAAGGTACAATTAACTAAACCAACAATTCAATAAGGAAATAATGAGACTTCTTCATTCATTAAAAATATAACAAATTAACAACTATACCTCATTATCAGTCATTTTGTTTCAATATAGATATCAAATTAAACAGGATTACTAAGGCATCTTTTATTATAAGGTTCTTCATTCATTAAACGCGAGAGATTTCTAATGAATCTGCACAAATCTGCACCCTCATTCATCTCCTTTGCTTCCCCCTTTTCGGTCCTTTCTTTCCTCTCCAAATCCTCATATCCTTATCATCACCAACATCAAATCTTGAAGTAACCAAAAATTTTAGGGGGAATTAGAGCTAGAAATTGTGAAGAAAAGACGAGAGGAATAGAGAAGCTAGAGAATTTTCGTTTTGCAGCAAAGTAGTGAGCTCAAGAGGAGATTTCAGTAAACCCCATCGTTGGATCGTCCTCAAATTTAGATGATGTGTTCCGTACTTTATGGGGATCCGATTAGACCGTTGAGATTGTCGTTATAATATCTAGTTCGTTGAGAAACGTTGCTGGTCACACAAGGTGCGACCCTGTTCTCCTGTAGTTGGGCAGATGGTTCCAGCGAGGATTACGGAGAAACCAACCGTTTGATCATCTTCAAACCTTGAGAACTGGTTTTAAACTCATTTTAAGGTGGTTTGACCGTCGGGATTGATGTTATGACTACTGGATTTTTGGAAGAGAGGTTGTGAAATTGATTGAAACTCGTTCAACTGAAAACGTACAAAACGGAGCAGAAGCGCATTTTTAACCGTTATTGTCCGCTTTTTCGTACATTTTTACACATTATACGTTTTTGTATAGAAAATGAAGTGTTTTTCCTAGTCAGAAACATAAAAACGTGCATCTGTACTTTTTAAGACGCGTTTTTACTACATTGTTGTTGTCCTTGCCTGTCTAGTAGATACAAAGAATACGGCTAGATGTTCAGTTTAATTAACTCGAAGTAGGTCTCATTTTTGTAGTCTTCTTTGCTATCCTAAACACCGAAAGAAATTCACGTAACTTATTTCTTATTTTATTACCAACTAATGACAAGTGACTAATGAGATGTTGCCCTCACGATATACATTAGCAAAATAGCATTATTACATTCATACCAATAATTCAATATTCAACTCAGCTACCTTAGACCAACGGGTCGTGTTATAAGCTAGTTTATTGAAAGAGCACATATAGATATAGTATAGCTTTCACTGTAAGGTTTAATTAGCAGAATTGTTCCTTCTCATATCTGACGGAACATTTGGGATTCTGATCAACCAAATTAATGTGGCCTCCGCTGCCGCTCCTGCACAGCTGGTTCAGAAGGTTCCTGGCCCTGTTGAGACACCTGGCGCACTCCTCGAACCGCCGGGCGCAGGTGGCCAGGCCGGTGACGGCGAACCCACTGCCGTCGACGACGTCGGTGGAGGTGCAGAACCGCCTCTTGTTCGGGTGCGAGCTAGCCACCCCTACCAAGCGGCACAGGACCTCGTCCCTCGCCGCCGTGGCCTGAGGCTCGTCGGTGCTGTTGAAGTTTCGTGAGTTGCACACCACCGGCACCTTCACTTTCTTCCCGGCTTCCGCGGGGCGGGTAGTCGTAGTACTGGCCAGCAGGACAACTGCGACCAGAAAAACAATGCTAGCAGTAGTAGTACTTACCATCTTCTTCATATTGTTGCTTCTTTTTTTTTTTTTTTTTTTGGTGTGAAATGAAATGTTGAATTGCATGGGGATTATATACTGTTGACATGAGCGGAAATTAATTCCCCTTCTCAGTGTATATGCCCTTTTCATTGTTTGTTGTGTGGAAGATCGTTTAGTTTAGTTTAGTGTCTTTCGGACCCAAAAACGAACCTTCGTATACTCCATCACGAGAGGGTTAAGATCGATGGAGTTTGCCTCCTTCCGATCTCTTCTAGTTTTGGAATGCACGCAAATCATATCCTCACATTAGTTCGTCTTCCTCAATGGATTCTAACGGTTTGTTAATTATGCTGTTATATTGTAGCTGCAATTTCCACTGTCGTACGACTCATACCCTGTTTGGTTGGTTTAATTTGGCATTCTACTTGTGTCTTGACTCTTGTATGGTTGTATGCCTCAGCGGTAGTGATAGTAACGTGGCGGGGCGGGTACCTCAATATCCATGGATCCCATCACACGCGTTATTGCGGGTCGAGGCAGATAACACTCTGCGGGTACGGGGTGGACCGGTTCGACCTATTCTTACATGTTATTTAAAAAAAATATACGCAAAATTTTACTTTTTACGATAGAATGAAGAAAAAAACACTTTATGAATGAAAATAGTGATCACATAATGGTTAACTGAGTCTAACTAAGTGAAAGATCAAATCTTATTAGTTGAAGACGAGTCCAAATAGAATATATATGAATAAATATTGTAAGAAATTAAATAGAATGAGCCAAGAACGGGACGGGGCTGGTCGAGGCAAAAAGAATACCGAAGCAAGTATGTCAAGAATGGAAGCAGCATTGACATATGGCTGGACAAATGGGTGCCAACAGCAGAGGGTTTCAAGGTGACGACCCCAGTGATACCATTTGGAGATTCTACTTCAGTAGCTGAGCTCATTGATTTTGAGGAACATTGCTGGAGAACAGATGTGCTCCAAGAGCACTTTCGAGTAGAAGATCAGGTAAACATACTAAAAATACCCATCCCACGGGTATGGAGACGAGATGAAAGGGTGTGGAGTGCAGAAAAATCAGGAGAATACTCAGTCAAATCTGCATACAAGCTTTGGTTCAATTGATACGAAGAAGAGAGAGGGGAAATTTACTCCCCAGTCAATTGGGATCGACTTTGAAAGCTAAAAATCCCTCAGAAAGTGAAAGTATTTGCTTGGAAATGGGTGTGAAATATTCTCCCTACCGGGGCTAGAGTAGTACAGAGAACAACTAAGGGAAGTGAAGGATGCCCCTTCTGTGACCTAAAGGAAACCCAGAATCATATTTTCCAGGAGTGTGGATGGGCACGAAGAGTCTGGAGACCCAGTCCGCTAATGTCTATGTTCAATAAGGGGAAGAACCTTACCTCTGAGGAATGGTTTTGTGAATTACAGAAAAGTGAAGAGATGACCAGATTAGTCGCTTCCTGGTTGCCTTATGGTTCATCTGGGACCAAAGGAATTGTCTATGGAACAAACCTAAGATGGAAGACTGGGAAATCATGGGTCAAGCAAGCAGATGGATTGAAGAATACCTGGAGGCTCAAACAAAACGAGAACCCAGCCGTAGTGAAAAGCAGACGAATTGGACTCCATCGAAGGATGTCGATTCACCATTTTTGTCGATGCGGCTTGCTTTGCGGGTCGCGGAACAGAGGTCGGGATAATTGTGAGGGATAGAGCGGGAGCCTTTCGATTGGCAGCGCTGAGAAGGACGAGGCGGCAGTGGGAACCAGAGGTGGCGGAGGAGATGGCAATCGATTTCGGAGTGGAGGTGGCAGGGCGTTGTCCTTTCTCTCCAGTTTCTATCCAAACCGATTGCCAGGTGCTGGAGAGGATGCTTCATGGAGATAGCCAATCCAAGCTTGAAGTGGGCCAGGTTTGTGAGGAGATAAGACAAAGAGCAAACGGATTGGGCTCATTTTTGTGGTGTTTTGTGAGCATAAATCTTAATGAGCCAGCCCATTTTTAGCTCACAAAGAGTGTGATTGGGAGAGGGAAGAGATCTGGGTAGGTAGTCCACCAGCTTTCCTTGTACCCCTCTTACTGAAAGATGGGGCTGCTGATGTTTCTTCACATTAAGTATTAATAATAACAGCACTTGGTTTCTCAAAAAAAAAAATATCACATCTACAAGGGATGAGGGGAAAAAAGTATTTTGAGATATTGCGAATAACATTGACATCGTGGAGCAGTATGGACGTCATACAAGGTACAAGTATGATAAGAAGACCAAATATATTTTAAGGGGGAGAATTGAAGAATTAAAATATATTTTAAATAAATGAAGATCATTGGTGATTGAGTTTTTTTTTTCAACTGAAATAAATGGAACGAAAAACCTAGAGGAAAGGGGAATTAGAGATTGGACGAGAAGAAGTGGCAAGAAAGGAAGAACATAATAGACTAGTTTGGTTCTGCTGTAGTTTTTGCAGAAGCAGCTTTTGTCTTGAGCTTTTAGGGAAGTACTTTTCAAAAAAAGCAGTTGAGTGTTTGGTTGAAAAACTATTAGAAGTGCTTTTTAATATGAGAGGTTATGTAAAATGACTATAAAAGGGCTTATAATATAAACTATGAATAAAAATTCTAAAGAATAGAAATAGTCAAAATGGATCTTGTTAGGTTTCTTTTATATTAAATAATATAATTTTATAATTTATTTTAATTTTAAAATGATAAAAATGAAAGAAAATTATATTTTATGAAATAAATAAAAATATGGTAAGGATAATCTTATATTTTCAAAACAGCTTTTCGCAAAACTCCAACTCGGAGCTTCTGCAGTTATGTTATACAAAAGCGCTTTCCGGCTTTTCAAAAGCCGAACTTTTAGAGGTGTTTCTCTCTGCTTCAGCTTTTCAAGTCGAAAAGCACTTTTAAAAGTCGGGCCAAACATAGGGAATAATTGGTAGAAATGTGAGAGAAAGAATTGAGTGTTGTGAGAATATTTGTGAAGTGTGAGCTCTTTTGCTGTAATTTTACAAATTGGTAAGTTGAGATGATGTTTGGAAGTTGTGATTGTTTTTTGAGATTGTTATTATACTTGTATTGTTTAGAATACATCATTTTATAATTTTCTAGCATACACAATATATGGATTGTTTTGTGATATGACATAAACTATCACTCAAAATAAGTGGTTGTTATATCTTAACTTTTAGCTGAGATTGTCGGGATAGTTGAATTGAGACTATTTTATCTCATATATTAACTTATGTGACTTATATAATCAACTAAACAGGCATATCAAACATTGTATTTTACAATGCATCAAATTCGAGAATACATGTATAATATTATACATGTATTCACACCATCTATTTAACAATTGCAATTTCCAAACGACTTCCGAGTTTACAAAAGTTGTGTTTTGTCCACCAAGTTCAATGGGTGTTATTCAGAGTATACCCTATCCAATACTCAACAATAACGGTATGTGTTGAAACATGATTGTTAGGGTTGTGTATTGGTCTAGTCTATACTAGTCACGGGCCCGGCCAATTGGCCGGATTCAGTTGTCAATTATGCAAATAACAGTAGCAATTTGTATTTAGTTATATATTAGTATAAGAAAATCTAAGTTCTTCAAATACTTTAAACATTCAAATCAATTGGGAGAATAAGTGAATCCAAATTATTAAAATAGTCAACAATTCAAAATAATGAATCTTGTAATCCGGCATACTAATGCCTAATTGAATAAAATCTTTTTACGAAGATGAAAGAAAACTCACATGCAAGGGACCGAGTCCTGACACGCTAAAACACAACATCTAACAATGGCCAAGTGTAACCAATGAAAAGGACTGCAGTATAGTGGCACAAGTAATAAATATCGAATCCACGTGTCTCTAGAGTTACTATTACTCAGCTTCGGTTCATTATCTAGCAAACTAGATTAAGGATTGATTTACTAAACTACTCTACTAATTACAAGTTGGAAACTCACTTAGGTATGATTCCCCCTAACTCCTCAATTAGGTCCAAGTTGCAATTACCTTTGGTTGATCTACTGTTGATTAAACTGCGGAAGATCCTAAATTAGCTTGGAATCTCTTTAGCTGACCAAACCCTCTTAGATAGAATACCCGGCGAGCGACTAGCCTTCATCGGGATAGACTGCTAAGGCGATTCACACAGATTTCCACTACTGGAATGAATTCCCGTACAAAGCAGTAAATTGATTGACTCTCGCACAACCAATTCACCACTATCAATCAAGGAAGCTCTCTTAACCTAATCAGATTCTATCTATCATAGGTTAAAGCAGAAATCAAGAGAAGATGATCAGGCTTCAATTGACTCAATAAATCATGCCTCAATCGATTATAATCAAATAATATAGCATCCAAAACTTCATACAAGAAAGATCCTAACACATGGAACTAGGGTTTCTCAAAACCTAAGTGAAGGGAAGTTACTCCATAGAGAAGAGAGAGACTATAGAAATCTGATATAGATCTTCAATCTCCATCTCCAAGCTTGATTCCCGAACTCCAATGGCGAAGAAATCCTCCAAAATATCTCCAAGAATATTCCCAAGTTGCTCTCTCTCTCTCTAGGGTTCGTCCCTTGGGTGTTTGGGAACCAAAACTCAGCTCCCCCTTTCCTTTGGCTTGAATCTGCCTCAAAAGCCCGATTCTGGGCAAAACACGATCGAGGACACGGCCGTGTTTTACTTTTGCCCGCCCGTGTTTTGCCCCCAGCAGTGCTCACGACACGCCCTCGGCAGTAAAAACACTAGCGGGAGGCAGATAAAACATGGCCATATTTTTAGGGTAGTCTGCCCGTGTTTTTACTGCCGAACTTGTTCCCCTATATTCAATGCTTCGTTTCCCCCTCGTCCGGACTCCGAATCAGCCGTCGTTTGATCCCAAACGCTCGTAGTCTCGTCCTCTTTCTTTTCATCACAAGCTTGCATGATTATTCGTCCATAAATGAGGTATAAATCCATTCTTCTTCAGGTCATGCCCGATTTTCTTCTCCCGAATCGCTAATTGGTCTCCGATTGACTTGAAACTTGTGCCTATCCTTTCCTTTGATGCTTGAGACCTGAGATGTGACAAAGAAACACAACCTAGCGTAAAATAGGCCAAATAAGTGATAATGCAAGCTTAAATTATCAAGAAACAAAGGGGAAAACATGTGCAAATATCGAGTCATCAAGTCCTAAATACCATTTAAAATGACCCTTCTAACTAATCCTTATCGTTATCTATTAGCAACACATTTATCTCCAATATCAATTGACACTTCCTTCTTCTCTTATATTTCAGTTATCTCTTCCTTGTTTTTCTCTATTTCATCGAGCACAAAAATTTGATGTTAAAATATATTTGCAAATACAAATCATCTTTTTCATTGGAGTAGAATTTATCTCGTCTAAGTTACGAACGTTATCCCATATTTTTTCTTTCTCCCCATCACCAGTCTGTATACCTTCCTCAAGAACAATGTTTTTCTTCTGCTCAACATGATCATCATCTCTAGTTACGGATCCATTACCTCCACATTAGTAGTGTCATTCTTGGTATCTTGCATTACCATCATGAATTTAGAGTATTGACCTTCAAAAGTACAACAATCGGGATGGTTTTATCGAATCATGATTGGTCAATATATATTGTAGATAAAATTGTCGCCTGAGCAAAGCTCCAAACTCAATACATATCAGATCCTGCATATTTACAAGCAGGCAGTGAAAGTCACCTTTGCAACAAGGTTAGTACGACTGGTAATTAACTAAATGCAATTTTAATAATTAAACCCTCAGCTCCCTTCAACCAAACCATTTCAGTTAATTAGACTCATGGTTCCTTTCATCCGGCCGTTGCATGATGTGAATTAGATTAAAGAATATAACTCAGTATGAACTATGCATGATAATAAAATCCAATAGAGAATAGCACAAATTTATAATTAATATTTATCATCATTTTTATTTAAATATAATTTACCTCGATCAAGTCAGGAATGTCGTCGGTGGTCTGCTCTTCCTCATCCTTCACTATTTTGATAATTGTATACTCACTTGTTAGATTAGCGATGTAGTAATTTGTGAGCTTGATGTCGAACTGCAACATTATTCCCTCAATTTGTAGGAGATGAGCATGTGGTGGTCCTATAATTCTATCATTGTCTTGGTATAGCCTTTCAGTCGACATTCTAAAAAAACAACCTCCACTCCATCCATAACAACAAATTTAGTATCTCCTGTTTTGTCTGCAACTCGAAGGTTGATCCTGAATCTGTATAATGATGGTAATAACATAAAAAAATTAAAATTGTTGAAGTACACATTACTTTTTAGGTGTTAAATACAAAATCTTAATTATTCAGTCAATAAAACAAAAATAGTTTCATTAGGTACTATAGGTGTGCATAAGTTGTTTAGATATGTTATTTAATACTTTAGTATGTATGTAAGGTTTTCGCTAGCATAAGTACCGTGCATTGCTAATTATTAAGGAAAATGTTCTTTTTATGCATTAGTAATATAATCTTTGAATTGTTAAAAAAATAAATTATATTTCGAAAGATTAAATATTCAATCATTTGGCATGTATATTCATCAACTAACTATACCTAATCAAATTTCATGTTAATTATGGTTGCATTATCTTGATGTTGTTGTTTTAATGTCTTTGTAAAATTCCAATAGAAGTACTCGGCGGACTCTTCTTCAAGTTTTTGTGGACAGGATTCGCATCCAGCATAGCACCATCAATTCTTAACTTTGATAACTTTGCATTTGACAAAATACATATTTCCCTACATATTACTCAAAGTGTTAGTATTTGTTAGCTAATGGATTGTTGAATCGAATATAATGCTTACTTCTTCTCCAACTTTCATTTTTAATTGATTGAGCTCATGTAGAGTTTTAGATGTGATTGGCTGTTGAGTTTTTCATGTGATTTTCATTGGAGAAATTGGTGTGTTGTCGGCACTTTAGTCACCCAAAAAGAATGTTAATTAATCTCTTTTGTTCTTTGAAGTTGAAATTTTACAAAGCATACAAATATACAAAGATTAGATTTGCTGTAAATTTCACCTTGGCCCAAAATTATTGACTTCTAGAATTCTTGGATTCGCCAGCAGCAAGGTTGCTCCAATTGAGCAGATTGTGTTATCGCGTGCAAATTTGATGATCTTTGAATTAATTATCATTAATTTATTTTCAAATGCTTGTATTAATAATAAAGTAATTTAGATGTATCTTTATCATTGTACTTATCAATATATAATGATGTAATGACCAGGATGAGAGGGTGATCACCCACACTTGCAAGGATGTCATTTAATTGAGTAATTATCCTACCAAAGAGAGTTCTCTTGACAACTAATCCCTTGTACCAACATTATATATTAGATTTGCTATTAGAGGTAAAGTAATGCATGCAATTTTAAACAAAATGCCAAGAATAATATACTCTGGAAATTTTAGTTGAAGCTCTTTGCAATTACCTTTTCCAGTGATTCTAGTAGTTGTCACTAAATCCGAATACTAAATAAGCTGACCAACAACATTTGCGGAAAGAAAATTTCTAAAAGCTTATGTATATGGGTGTACACGCATAAAAGTGAAGTAATTTTGAATTGAGAAAGTAATTTGAACCTGAAAGAAATTTCCTTTCTTTGCACTTTTTGAATAATTGAATCGCGCAAAAGTACTTGAAGCTAGATATGTGGAGAAAAAAATCTAACATGTTTTGGAGTTAATTGACAGTGTCATAGATGTACAGTTGAGAAAATTCTGGCATGTTCCTTTCTGTAGGTATCAAGCTACCAATTCGATGATATACTTGTACACATTTTACATGGTAAGATGTATATAATAATGCTAATAAAATATTTGTACTTACATTTAATTTTTAATGAACGAATTAAAGTATTATTTTATTGTTTGGATGACTCTCCTCGTGAAGTATTAGGCATAGAACTAAAAAAAAAAATCAGCTAAAAAGTATTCAATCTAAATAATATAAGAAAAATAGTTGACAATGACAAACTTCTAACATGAGCATAATGGAGATATTTATATTCAGACAAATAATACTACTACTATTTACCATGATTAGTAAAATACGGTACGAGTAAGTTGTATATAAAATACGTACTGGTATTTTACTTCGTCTCGAAACTAATGTTAGTACGTCAATAGTCATAAATATATAAAAATTAATCATTTTAAATATAGATAATAGTTAAGTTAGCAATTTAATTCATTAAATACGGATATTAACCGTGTTATATAATATATGAGGTTTTTACGTGTTTAGTACGGGAGTCACCAAATGAACGGGAAAAATAAAATGACTTGACAAAAATACATATACGAAAAATTTAAATGGATAAAATACATACAAATACATATACGTGTATTAAACTGAGTATTTACTAACTATGCTATTTATAATCAAAGAAATAATATAAGGAGCTTAACATACCGAAGATTTGTAGTTCTATAATCAATAACATCCTTCTAGAATTTGTATGCTCATAATTGGGCCCACATCTGGAAATATAGGCCTCCATCATGATTCATGTCACTTCAAGCTCGCATATTTGGTGGCCGTTTTGCCTTTGTTAAAATTGAGTTTAACATCTTTTTGTTTGTTTAATGATGTTGCGTGTGTAATTGCCTTCCCCGGACCCAATTAAAGTCCTCGTTGATTTTATATAAATGCCCTTCCACCGTTTGCGTAGAAGGTAGGGAATTTTGATTTAATGAGGTTCTGGGGGAGAACCTCCATATAGGTATGGTTTAGTTTAAATTAGATTAGATTAGATGGATGGAATTGACAAGATCAACACTCTAATTGAATAAGAATAACATGCATCGAGTATAGTGCGATTCCGTTTCAATCAAAACCACTATTGATTTGGAATCCACAAATCAATACCATACCAAGCAAAGTTAACATGTAGTGTTAGGTTTTATTATTAATCCGAAATGTCCATATACCAAAACCACAAAAACGAAAACTGCTGCAGAAATTAACACATTAAAGCTAACCACGGGGCTTAAATTTGGATATTAGTTTGGCAAAGCGACCATTCTTAAGCAGGAAGCATAGCAGTCTCCCACTCCACGGCTTTCTTCAATAGGCTGTCCTCTTCAAGCACCATCTGTACCGGCAAGAACCCCATCCCGCTCGCCATCGCCAGCATCATCTGCCTCGTCTCGGCCTTGAACTCCTCGAGATCCACCTTCCCGTTCGAGTCATGATCGAACTTTGTGAACAGAGACTCGTACTCACTAGCCAGATCGCTGGGGCTCATACTCTCGTCGATGCCAAAATGGGTCTCGAAGACCCTCAAACTCTGCAGCTCCTTCAGCATCTCCGAATAAGAGAGCTGGCCATCGTGATCACTGTCCAGGTTCACGAATAGCTCGTGAACCGAGACAGTGAAGGCTTCCTCGTCGCCAACAAAGTTGACGATGGTGTTGCCGTCGAGAAGCTCCACGCTCATCGTTAATTTATGGCTTTTTGTGGGATGATGTTAGAAAATAGAAAGACTGTCTGAAAGAAAAGGGGTGAAATTGAAGTTGGTTGTGGGTTTTCAGTTGGTTTGGTATGAGCTATGAGTTTGGTTGGAGAGGGCTTATATATAATACTTGCTGCCTATTGGTGGTTTACTGGTTGTAGTTTCCGTTTGTTTCCTGAGAAAGATCTTCCTCTGTTTCTTTCGGTCAGTGCATGTTGTTTTGCTGGGCTAGCTGGTCGTTTGGAGGATATACCACTGAGACTTATTATTATAGTACTTCTTGGTGGTCTACAATTGCAAAGATGATGCTTGCTTGTTGGATCACTGGATGGATGGTTAAGTCGCGAATCTTTGTTTTAATTAAGTTAATGGAGGCATTGGTATGTTATTAGCGCTTAATCAAAACCCATAGGCAGGGAAAGGATTACCAAATACAAGGGGAATGGATCAAGTCAGTAACCTTATGGTGAGTAACCATGAGTAACCCGTCCACATTAGCATGACATTAGCATCCTTTCTCTCCTGGAAAGCCTTTAATTTTCCCATCTTTAATCTTTGACGGACGATTTCTCATTCATTTTAAGTCGAAATTTAATTTTTTTTGCACAGTTAGATCAGACTAATTATGCTCTTCAAAATGATATCCACTTTAATATAGTTTTCGAACAAAAAAATTGAGCCATTTTTTACTAGTCTATAACATATGGTATTGACTGGTATTGAAATAAAAGCATACCTATGGTTTGAAAAACGTACCATGGTGGTATGAACAAACCAAGACTGTAGGATGGTGGAATCATAATAGTAAAAGTATATTAATTGTCATTTACGACTTTTAACATTGTATACCACACAATACCACCCCGTACCAGGGTGGTATTGTATGGTATTGTGTGGTATTTTTTGGTCTCGTAATTTGTTCACCCAGAAATTTATAGATCCAATAGATCATGATGAACTCGTCCCTTCTGTGCAAACGTTTTCAATTGTGTGGTATTTTTTGGTCCTGTAATTTGTTCACCCAGAAATTTGTAGATCCAATAGATCATGATGAACTTGTCCCTTTTGTGCAAACTTTTTCAAAAACGAATTAAAAACGAAGAATATACCATATGGTATGCAGTTGGTACCGAGAGGCCAGAATTTTTTTTCCTCAAAAAATATTGAAAATTGATCTCATTTTATAGAGCACGATGAACTCGTTCCATCTGTGCAAAAAAAATTAAAATCCGAGTTAAAACAAAAAAGATATGAGTCAATTAAGAAACTTAGAAAAAATAAAAATAATCTTTAATTCTCCTTCCTTAATTCTGAATTTTCTAAATAAAAGGGTTCATATTTGGTTATTGATGGGTGCATAACCCATGGTTATGCACCCTATCTTGAACCAATACCAAGTGGGGGAATTATAGGGGAACGGATCAGGTCAATAACCTTATAGTGAGTAACCGTGAGTAACCAGCCCACATCAGCATGACATCAGCATCTCTCTCCTGGAAAACCTTTAATTTTCCCCTTCTTAATCTTTGACAGATGATTTCTCACTCGTTTTAAGTCTAAATTTAATTTTTTTTGCACAGTTAGATCAGATTAATTGTGCTCTTCAAAATGATATCCACTTTGATATATTTTTCGAACAAAAAAATTTGAGCAATTTTTTACCAGTCTATACCATATAGTATTGACTGGTATTGAAATAAGAACATACCTATGGTTTGAAAAGCGTACCATGGTGGTTTGAACAAACCAAGACTGTAGGATGGTTGAATACATGATAATAGAAGTATATTAACTGTCATTTACGACTTTTATCATTGTGTACCATAATATACCACCCCGTATTGTATGGTATTGTGTGGTACTTTTTTTGTCATGTAATTTGTTCACCCAGAAATTTGTAGATCCAATAGATCATGATGGACTCGTCCCTTCTGTGCAAACGTTTTTAAACACGAATTAAAAACGAAGAAAATACCATAATATACTACCCCGTACCAGGGTGGTATTGTATGGTATTGTGTGGTATTTTTTGGTCATGTAATTTGTTCACCCAGAAATTTGTAGATCCAATAGATCATGATGAACTCGTCCCTTCTGTGCAAACTTTTTTAAACACGAATTAAAAACGAAGAAAATACCATAATATACCACCCCGTACCAGGGTGGTATTGTATGGTATTGTGTGGTATTTTTTGGTCATGTAATTTGTTCACCTAGAAATTTGTAGATCCAATAGATCATGATGAACTCGTCCCTTCTATGCAAACGTTTTCAAAAACGAATTAAAAACGAAGAAAATACCATATGGTATGCAGTTGGTACCGAGAGGCCAGAATTTTTTTTTTCTAAAAAATATTGAAAATTGATCTCATTTTGTAGAGCAAGATGAACTCGTTCCATCTGTGCAAAAAAAAAATTAAAATTCGAGTTAAACGAAAATAATATGAGCCGATTAAAAAAGTTAGGGAAAATAAAAATGGTCTTTAATTCTCCATCCTTAGATCTGGATTTTCTGAATGATAGGTCCAGTTTTGGTTATGCATTCTATCTTGAGCCGAATTATATGGCTAGGAAGGAATTGAAACGGCAAATTACAATTAATTATTATATAATTAAATATTAATTTGTAAGTGGGTCACGCTGTTTTTGACTGGTTTGGACTTCAGTATAGTCACAACTCACAAGTACGTAAGAACCTGAAAGATAGCAGGCTTTCTTCCTTACTGGACGCGGTCACCAAAGCCCATTGGAAAGCTTTCAACAAAAACAAGGTAACATATATAAGTTTAACACAGGATATAAAGGCGTGTTAAGAATGAGTGGATATTATCATTGTTAGAAGAACTGAACCAAATTAATGGTTAATTTGGCGGTTGCAGTCGAATTGCTAAACCAGTTATGATAGTGGTTCAATTCATTATTTGGTTGTTTTCATGGTTTAATATAAAATCAGATGAACTATCACGTTTTAAATGGTTCACTAGCTAGTTCACTATTTTAGCCCTAAAGTATTTTTTAAAAAATAATTTAACGTAAAGACCATCAAACCCGAATTATTAATTTTATTCATGCTTCCTTTTTCTCATTTTCCAACCTCGTTCTCGACTTTACATGGTCCACTACCGACTGACACCGTAATTTTTAACTTGAATTAAAAAAATTATTATTTTTGTAAGGCAGTTTGAATGATTTGTTAGATATTTTGATGATGATATGGATTTTAAACTGTTTATATGATTCTTAAACTAGTGTATTGTACAAGTCATGTATATTATATATCATGAACGGTTATATCAATGATTAGCCAACTGTTTTGCAACGGTTAATCACTGAACTCTAAATCACTAACTTTTTCAATTCAACGTTTGGTCTGGTTCTGAAAGCATAGGATATTATGCACTCTATTTTAAAATATAATTGCAAGAAATCATATAATCAAGGAGGAGGTTCCTGTAACAAATTCCTTGGTTTTGTATATCTACAATAGCAAGATCAGTAGTGGAGGTTAGTGGGGTTGTAGATCTTATGGCCATTAATGCGAGTGTGGATCTGGTGACTAAGGGGGGTACTTAGTCACTTGACTAAGCTCCTCCCAGTTCTTAGATCTGGACACATCAATCTGATGGTTAAAAAGCGGGAAGGACTATTTAATTAATGACAGAGGTAGTTTGGGTATTATGGAAAATTACAAAGTATACAAACCGAACTTACAATCAGTACAAACCATACAAACATACGAATAGTACAAACTAGAGCGACAAAACATACAAATAGATTTACAAACATATGAACTGTAGAAAAAATACAAACTAGAACGACAAACAATACAAACCATACAAAAAGAAAAAAACGACAAGGTTGACTTTGCAGGCTCCATCCCTATATAGAGGGGCTCCTTCCCAAAGTCGACCAGAGTGTTTTTTAGACATACAAATAGTACGAACATAGTGGACAAAAATGACAAACTAGACCGACAATTCATACGAACTGGAAAAAACACGCGGGTTGACTTTGGAGGCTCCATCCCTATATAGAGAAGTTCCATCCAAAAGTCAACCAGGTTGTTTTTTAGACATAAAAAACATTACAAACACGGTTGAAAAAAATGATAAACATGGTGCACAAAAATAACAAAGCGTACAAACATTACAAAATATGTCAACAAACATCACAAAGCACTGTCGCCGGAAAATTCTTCTCCGTCGACGATGGTCGCCGGGAAAAATTTTCCGACCAGAAAATCTCTCTCTCTCTCTCTCTCTCTCTCTCTCTCTCTCTCAGTGGGGAATTCCAATAGAGTTCCCAGCATCCATGGAAAGGCATCCGGCGGAGGGGACGGGGACGGGAAAAGTTCCCTCGTCGGAAAATTTGTCAGGCCGATGGAGGGGATGGAAAAGCGGTAGGGACGGGGAGGGGACAGTGGAAAAGCAGTCGGCGGCGGTAGGAACAGGGAGTGGACAAATTTTTTTATTTACTTTATAATTAAAAATTAAAATAATTATACAATTACTACATTGCCCTTCATTAATTTGGATTAATTGGAGCCATTAAATTTTAATAAGATGAAAGGGTTGAGATTGATGACTAAGACACTCCCTAATTACTTGATCTTACCCCATTAATGCCGAAGAGTATTTTATCCCTGTGGAAAATAAGGCCAGTCATGTTCATGTGCGGCCAGATGCATTATATGTTGCGCGTCCTTTGTTCTCTTTCTTAGCTTAGTGTGGACTTTTAGGAAGTTGTTAAGACAATTTTTTTTTTGCTTTAGATTCTGAAAATAATTGTACAGAAAAATCAAAACTTTTGTACTCTACAAGATAATATTTATTTTATTATTTTATTGAACAAAATCTTTTCAGGTTATTATACGACTGTCATATCATAATATTGCCACTGGTATTGGTATAATATCACAATGATATGATAGTGATATGTTGTTAGTATGAATTCCTATGTTTGACAAAATAGTTTTTCGACATCATATCATGATATTATCAATATGAAAAACTTTCGCTGTTTTTCATAAATAACCTTAATAAATACTGAATGCAAATTGTCATCTCTTAAAACAAAGCCCTAACATTTGGACAA